AAGTAATACTATAAAAAATTATAAAAATAATGAAGTGAAACTATGAAAATCTGTTTATTTAGTAGGTAACATGTCGTATTACCATTTTATACACATTATTTACAACCGGCTAGATCATGTATGGGCAACCTTTTTGATAAATATAATATATATTTATCTAAAAACGAGAAAAAATAATATTTATGTTATCGCTCATAACGGGAAATTGGAAACACGTGTTTCAGGCAAATTTGTCTTTGGTCTTAACGGGGCTTTATATTCCAAAGAAAATTTGTATAAGACTTATAGTCTATAGGTCTACACTCTGCCCATGACTAATTCCTTACAGTGTCAATAACTTAGGAATTTTAACTATAATGAAAATAATAAAACGTACCTTCATATAATCCTAGTATTTGTGCATTGTATCCTAAATTCACAATATATAATACAAACACAGTTAAAAAACATTGTAGGCTTGTGTAACTTCTCATTATTAATAAAATAGTTTGAACATCTTATTTAAACAAAGAGCTTACTGATATTTAGGTTTTCAAAAAACCACTTAATGTATTTATGACAGATCTACAATTTGTTGAAGATTTTAAATTAGCTATATTATACAGTAGGTATACACAAACACACTGATTATAAGCCCCACTTTTCTATACTGGTTCTTGACCATGGAATGCAATATTATAACTTATACCTAACTCAAGAATATTTATATAGAGTAATCGAGGTCACATGCTCACATATTATAACAACAAATTAATAGTCAGTGGGTAGAAAAATTACGTTAATTTGCTTATCAACTGGTCACGACTGGATTTATTTTTATAGGTACATTTTGAAATGTCGGATAAACGAATGATGATATCCGTTATTTCGGTTTATCATTCAAACTGACAAAATAATTTCTATGTTTTAAATGATTAAAGTAGGTTTAAGTATAAAAATCAACAATTTAATCTGTGTGGTGAGTTACTAATAAATAATAATTTTTATTCATATTCTCAATAATRAGCGTGGATCTTTTATATATATATTTTAAAATAAAACTTGGATTTGAGAACCATTTAGTAACCAATTACCATTACTTAGAAGGCCTTGCCTAAATATTTATAATTTCGTAATAATCATTTATCATCAACRCGATAATTACTGCGAAAAATACGTCATAACTTATAAGTTAAAATATTGCACTCTTAATAGATCAAGTTATTGGCAACATTTAAAATATCGAAAACTGTCTACTATAATAATAGATATCTATTTACTATTTAACTATAAGATATTAACATAATATTATGTATAGTAACATTATTATGTTGTTATTACACGTCTTTTATGATCAACAGGTTTCGCACATAAAAATAAAAAATTATTACGGAAATAGTTATATAAAAGTAAGCAATCTAATTATACACAAGTCTAAATGCAATGTATATTTAATTTGACTGTTTAATTTGTAGATAGTTTATTCATGAAACAGATTCATAAGTGGCAATTTAAAAGATTATTTGGTACCAATGATAATTGTTTTTAAATAAAACTTGTTAAGATTTAAGWTTTTGAGCTGAGCAATGACTCCATCGATTTTACATAATAATGTGTTTCTTTTAGAATCTGAGCGAATAGGACAATAGATAAATCCACTTATTGATTTTTCAATGATAATATAGGTATTGTGTTTTTATTTTGTCTGAATCACTACATTTTTGAAAAGTATAAATGCGGAATTTATACGATACATACAAGTATCAAGTGATTTAAACGCGAAAATTTCCATTTTTCGACAATGGGTCACATCCAGGGTCCCAGGGATATCCCGAACAACAATTCATCGGGGAAGAGAACCATCTCAGTAGGTACCTACTCATACTTTACCTATCAGTAAGCATTATAATAAAATCTGTAACAGATATTTACTTTGTTTTTTTGACAATTTTATATAGTAATAATACATTAATACAACTTCGACAAAAAAATGGAACCAACGTTGATGGATCAACCGCCCTATACCCTGCTGTAAGCAATATAATATTTTAATGGTATTATAATTTTTATATTAACACAAGTTATTGTTTTTTTTTTTTATAGTAAACACTTATGACTCATTATTTCAGAAGGTATGGTTATGAGCTAATAATATTAGTGTAATATAAAATAATATAATAATAATATTACTTTTTAAATAATGAATGTTGTTATCGAGTGGTGTTCAAGTAAGACGTTTTTAGTGTTCTATTATTTTAAGAACTTACACGACTTACCTAAATTAAATAACRATTAACGGATTAACCATTAACGAATTAACTTATTAACAAAGGACAATAAATTACTATCGATTGCACCGTACAATTGTACGAACGCCATACACCCCCTCCGATGTACGTAAACGTAATTTTGTGTATATGCGTACGCCCCTGAAATGGATAATCCCACTATCCATTACAGATTTTTTCCCACACAAAGTCTTCAAGAACAATTCACTTGTTTTCTACACCGGAGTTAGGTGGTTGTCGCGAGAAAAAGTTTTAACACGGATTTTTGAGTGGCGAAATGAATTAAAAATATTTTTTGAAGACCGAAACAGCACATTTTCAATTTTTTCTAAAATAATGAAACAATACCTTTTTGGCTTTGAGAGATATATACTTTTACATTTGAATAACTTGAATATAAGTTTACAAGTCCGCGAAATGAACATTCTAGTATTGTCAGATAAAGTTAATGCTTTTATCAAAAAACTTTGTACTTAAATCATTCCCCTTTAAAAACAAAATTTTGATGCACATTGATCTAACATCAAACCACTAACCAGCGTCCAGTAGTGAGAAAAATATATTGTTGAACTTTATGTTTCGTATTTGTTTCAACAATACGTCTGTATAAACTAGACGCAAATATACGTATATGGTTTTATATGCTTAACTGCTCAATGATCGATGCAATAACTAAGTATTATTAGTATTAATGCGACAAAACATATTTCATATATTCTATGATAATAGGTACTCTTAAGAGGACGCTACACGGACATTTGTTGTCTCCGTCATATAAGTGCGTAACATAGCATAGCAGCGGTATATCACGTTTAACTTACTAATGATTTATGAGAATTTTAAGATGTACAAACAATTAACAATTTTAAAATACTCATAATTATTGACTTAAAAATTAAAATGGAATAAAAAATGTATGAGATGCYTTACCTTTAAATTTTATAAGAAGCAAATTAACTTTAACTTTTCAACTATAACGGAGCTAAACGTGATCTGTTGATCGTAAAATTTGCTTTATTACGCATTTTTAAGAAAACGGTGACTACAAAATAAATGTCCGTGTAGCGTTCTTTTCAGTGTTATTTATACTTTTTTGACTTTCAATTTAAATGTATTCTTGACTTATTATTGTAATAAATGATTATACTTATTAGTAATTAATATTTATAGTTTATTTTATACTCTGCAGGTTATTATTTTTTATTGGTACACATCTGGCATTGTCATTTGTTATTATTATATAAGGCATACCTCTTTATTATTTCTATAAATGTCCATCTTTTTTCAATCAATAATCTGTCGAAACACGAAAATTATTTATAATTTATTAATGGCTAATAACGTAATTTCATAATGACTTTTTAATTTTTTATAATTAATTTTTTTTTTTTTTATTAAGAAAGATAATTTACAATCTGTACACAATAATTACAATAAGAAAATAAGATAGAAACAGAATAAAGTAGCATGAATGACGTATTGACGTGATGAGGAAGAAACCCAATGGTAACATCTCCTTTACTAATTTAATAGGTCTCTACACCATTTTCCCTTTAGTCTGCGTGGTGGGTTTTTTGGGAGGGTGAGGGAGGACATGTGTGATATTAAAGTATTGTGATGAGTGCTTAAATTTTGGTGRAAACGTTTATACATTGTTTTGGCTAGTTCAGTGGTAGTTAATATTTTTARGTCATTGTGTAAGGTAGAGTTTGAAACGTACCAGGGGGCTTTGGTTACTAACCTTAACGCTATTGATTGAAAAGCCTGAATTGGCCTGATGTTCTAGGGCTTGGCTGGGCCCCAGATTGCTATTCCATAAGACCAGACTGGTATTATGATTGACTTATATATAATAAGTTTGTTTTGGAGTGTTCCTTTTTAAGGTTCCTTATCTTTAACCGACAAACGGACAAACCTCGACTTCAGCTATAAAGAATAGATCATGATAGTTGATATTTATTATTTAGTATTATTTACTATCCGACATGCACCTGTCCTATTACCAACAACAAAGAATATAATGAAAATATCAACAATAATAATAAAGATAAAAAAAATTATTGTTCTAAAACCGTTCTGCAAGGTGTAGTTATCTGAGATCTGAGTTATCAGTAGTCCGATCAGCCCTTCCAAGTGATAAAGGAAATTRATATAATATTTTTAGCCTAGTGCGTACAGTTAACACCATATAACTTACTCTAAAGTCTAAAGTACTAAACAGAAAGTTTATTTACGAAATAAGTCATTACCCTTTACACTTTGGGCATTATCGTTTTTTCTTTTTTCGTATTCCCTCGCATTTCGAGTTCGGTTTCCGAGACGAAGATACGAAGTCCTAATAMATTTTTAGTTAACGATTTTTCAACTTAACTCGGTTTGACGAAGATGGGTCTTAACTGATTCTCGTGATTTACAACAGTTCATCATCGACAGTGTATAGGTACATATTTTATTTCGATATGGTGAAAAACTTATGGGTGTGTTCTACATCCTCGTTCCCCTAAGCTACTACAAGTGATAGGTGATATTTTTGCTTTAAGATTAAGCTGGTAAAGGAGTAAGTAAATAATATTGTATGTCGTATCACTACTGTATTCATATATTATGATTATTATGATTTTATAATTGATTATTTTTTTTCATTAGATATTTGGATTATGAAATAATACGATTACATAATATTAATATATTAATATATTATTACATATTACTATTAATTTAATTAATTTGTTTGATTGGTGTGTAGCGTACAACATACATTGCTAAAATATGTTTTTATTTATACAATTACCTACTTGAGTATTAACAATTTCTTTTGGCATACAAATAGATTTGCTGTGATTTAAAAAAGGATTTTTCCAAAATTGATAAACTAATAATCTGCTTAAAAAAATATTATATTCAGTACAATTTTAATCTCATCTATTATATTTAAATTGTTTATAAAT